ACCATTAAAATGTTTACACTTCCCGTAGTGGTATCATATAGATAATTATTTAAAATTTTAATAAGGCTTTTAATTGTTTAAATACTTTCTCGTAAATTTTGAAAGTTAAATTATCCATAAGTAGTATATGATAACTACGATAGAAATAATAATGATTTTGTAGAAAGCATAACTTATGTTACCCATGTCATATCAATTTTATATTAAATATCAAAGAACTAAACGATATTGTGGACCGATAACGTCGACTTTTATTCAATAGTAAGTCATTCTGAAAGTAATCGAAACAAACCTATGAGTTGGATTAACGAATGAGATTATCCACCCTGATAACATTTCCATAAACGCAACACAAACACGATGAATCGAATCGTTATCAACAGCTGATGCGTGGACCGATAAGATAGCGGTCATTTGACATGTCGTCCTTGGACAATATATTTGATATTATTTGATCGTTATTAAAACATAACGGTATAACGTGGACGTCCGGCTTTTTCAACGTAACCGCGGTTTGGTCTCCGGCGGGAAGACCGACAGAAGGACGGTCGTTATAATACCGAGTGGTATAATAATGGAAATAATGTGGAACGTCCTTGGGTAAGCAATCATTACGACCGTTGTAGTAGTAGCGGCACAAGAAGTCCTCACGCGTGTGCACTCATATACTACTCCCGGTGGAAGGCATAATGTTATACACAAGTATAAAAAATATAAAAAAACCTATTTACGCGGTCGTGGTCGTATAGTAAAGAATGGTAACGGGACGTGCCATCATCACCGCCTCACTCCGTCCGTATTTCTCCGGTCGACCGCCACCGAAGCCGTCACGGTCCGTACGTACACGCTCTGGTACACACGGAGAATCTCGCGGTGTCCATAAACATTTTTCGTCCGTACCCCAAAACTTGGTTAGGATTACTACTCCCACCGGCCGCTATTTGTGTTTGTCCATACGCTTGTGTACATGACTCAAAATCTAAAACGGGACTGTCTAGCACACAATATCCCACTGGGTAGACATTCAGTAGGATCATATCATATCACTGATCGTATCGTTCGTTTACACAATGTGTAATATCATTCTTTGTGCCGTAAACGAAACCATCGCTACGTTAATTACACAGACAAATGTTTTCTGAAAGCTACTCGCTCGAGTAGTACGACTTATTCCCTTGTACATTTTACTATTTTACTACTTGACCATACTTTGAAAAAACATTCAACTGTTTTCTTTCTGTGAAATCAATTGTTTTCGAGTATTGATTGGGACACAAAAACTATTTTTTATTTGTTAAATACAATATAGATAGCTAACAAAATCTATTTTGATTACTAGATGATGCCTTTTTTATCAGACAAAGAACGAGCTCTGAAAAATAAAATTCCTCTATTTACGTAACATAACCTCACTAGTTCACTTCAGAAGTTGAAAGATATTATTTAATTATACATAAGCGATAAATAAACTTGAAAAATAAATAATTTATTACACTCAATGTATTGGTGTTGTTCGTGAAAAAATATTTATGGTATTTATAATTTGAGTTAAAAAGTAGTTTTACTGTATGAAAACTAATTTGTTTCACCAAAATAAAAACAAGCATGTTCCCGTCGAAATTGTCGTCGTTTTACAATTTACCTTTTTTGATCATTTTTATTTTAAATTAACAGTATAATTATTTAAGTTTTTAATAGAAAAAAATTCGATCATTTTGTTAATTCAAAACATATTAAAATACAATTGTGAAACAATAAATTCGCGATAGTATCATTTGTAACGTAGTTTATTTTTACATTCTTTTTTTTAAATATTACTAACCATTTGTCTGTTGTACCTATAAATAGTACTACAAATTCCCTTTTGATACAAAAATAAAAACTATTACTCTAAATTTCAAATAACTCGTCCAAGTACATTCCTTTTTGTTCATAATATGAACGAACTACATAAGTGTAACAGCTTTAGTTGTTCATTATAGATAATGAATTATAAAATTTTAAACGAATATATCTATTATTACATTAGTTTGTCATTTGTATATTAATAAGCGCAAAAATGGAAAAACTACAAAGTACAGTTCAACATGCGTTCTATAATACAAAACAAAATCTATGAGATAGTTTTACTCAAAGTCGTTGAACAACTACTTTTTGTGTTACAACTGAATTGGTTTTCCATTAACTGTTGTCAAGGATATAATATATAAGCGGATGCTGAATAGTTAATTTAATTACTACCATTTAAACGATAAGTAACTGGTGACTGAATAAAAATTAAGTGTCAAAACATACGACAAACAAATATTTTTCTATAAAGTTTGTAGTCTGGAACCAGAATTTTGATTTATGAATGTTTGCTTGAAATCTTATTAGAACAAACCGTGTAGATCAATGGAAAATTTTTCGAATGTTGAATAATACGTTTTTATATATTTTTTAAATTGACTACAATAAATTAAAAAATAATTTGACCTTACGCCAATGACATAAATTACTATCGAATAAATTAAACAGAGTTTATCAATTAATTAAAATCCCCTGTACGGTATTTGGTCACTTTAAAATTTTTATAATAATATATTTTATATAACTTGTGTGACGCACGAACAGTAAAATTAACATTGTAATAATAATAATAATAATTATTATTATTATTTTGACATCAATTCGTATTCGCCGAACAGAGTTTCACCAGCCCGAGGATAAAATATTATAACGCGTTTGTGTGTGTTTGATATAGAAGATAAAAAATTTATATACTTCTTATGTTTTGTTACTATTGCCTGGTAATGTATTTACGTGCACTGTGTCACCAGAGGCAATCGCCTATCTTATGAGTACTAGCAGCTTGCGTGTTTATCCACCATAAGAGTAGTATATAGTTACACCTAAGGCCTTTAACAAGTACACACATGATGCTATTACCGTGTAAGTAATGTTACTAAAATTCTGTACTATTCTTACCTTCTTCTGGTAGCGCTCTCTGCCACCCCTCTTAAAAATAAGCAATTTGTCCAGCAGCTGTGTCATATGTAATTTTTTTATGCTATTATGTCTTACGGTCCTCTAATGGTCTTGTGTGACTAGTCCGAAAAAATGCACACATACAAGTAGCCGAAATACTTACGTACCTACACGTACGATAGCAATTATTGCCGACAAGTGACCTACATTGTCTGCTCGTTTAACGGATAAGTAGAAAAAAAATACAGACATTATAATACTGCTACTTTATTTTTGCCAAAAATAATTTTGAAAAAAAAAAACTACTACATGATTTCTCCGTAACACTACTCATTACTATGCAATTCATTTAAACAAAAATTTATATTGCGTCGGTATAATCGGCTGATCGTTTTTTAGCCATCGTATAAACCACTTCAACACCAATATAGGTTGTCTAGAAAAAAACAAGCCAATATAATTGAAACTTACTCGTTCATCGATTTGACATTTAAACGTTTTAAAGTGTCGACGGCCTTATGACCCCACGAGCTTATGAAAAACATAAACACCCAGTCAATAACATCCTAGACGTGATTTTATCTCTTTTCTATCTGAAAAAAGCACGTTTGGACTTGCCAATCAAGTTATTCACGAGAGACTTTAATGATCGTTACATTAAATATATAACATGGGATATAAGCTTTCAAAGAAAATAATATTAATTATGGAAGAATATCTCTAGTTATTAAGGTATAATTATGTTAAAAATAACCAAAATTCCATTTAACTCTTTCTAGTCATCCACTAAATAATTATATAATACTTACCAATGAATTAGCAAACTTTACATTTAGTTTCACAACTCAAACATAATTATTTTAAAATATAGCAATGTTAGACGCATATTCTCTTGGAAATTTTGTGTACTCATAAAATTAAAATTCAGCCGAAAATTATCGACATAAAATTTTTAAGTATTTAAAAGCTTAATTTACAGTAATATTTTACTACAAATAAACCAACAATATTGTCACTTGGAAATAATTTTTTATTATTCTTCACTGCAAAATTGCTAGTATAACACTACCAATTGTGTTAGGTAGTTTTCATATATTTAAATGAGATACTCAGTATCGATGTAGCTACCATAATAAATACTGCTTATTATTGTATATTATCAGTAATATTTAGATTGAGTATAGGAAAATAATAAAATCTTATTTGAAAAAATCCATTCAGTAAATTTATTTACATTAAGAATATTGTTTAGAAGTGGCGTATTTTTGGGAGTTCTTGTGGTCTTGGTCTCCTCGTTTACATAAAATAATATTAACATGGGTAGCGGAGGAGTAAATTTTCTCACTACTCTACGTTTTAAAATCTATCTGGACCCCCTACAATATTTTTAAATACACTACTGGTTTTTGGCAAGTTTAGTTCTAAACATTCTATAAACTACTAAGAGAATTTGAAGTTTGTTCATTTGAATAAACAAACATTATAAAAGGTTTTTACACGTATATTGTTTGACATTGGACAATGGAAATGTTTTTGTACGGGCAACAAAAGCGCATATGATTTACATACTGTTAATTGCACTAAGAACAAACAATACTCGATAAAGCTTTATAACGCATTCACAAATTCGGCTATGATGTTAATTTTTGCGTCGATGACAATGCACAACAGTAAAAATTATTATTATTATTATAATTGTTCTAGTGTATGCAGATACAGAGATGCATAGATTTATATTGTATTTTGCATGAAAACCATATAGCCTTACCATTATTTCCAGTGTAAATAGAGGAAGACGTTCTGTTAGCATAAATTTATGACGAGTTGACTAAATATTAATTTTTTTAATAAACCTAATAAATGCTTGTAAATATATGTGAAATGAGACACACGTTATAAAATTATAGTTCATATTTTCCAATTATCAGCATCATTCTTACAATTATGTGATGAAATCTGGCTTGTTATAATAATTTTTGGTTATAAATAATTGAAGAAAAAAACAGTATTACATTATTATGTTTTTTTTGCAGCTTGCCAAGTCATGTGGAACCAATCGCCATGCGTAAAAACATTAAATCAACGTGACTGTTGGCCATCAAACGTTGTTGCTGGTAAATGTTTGATAAATTTTAATACACTAAAACACTATATCTATTTAAATAAACGCTTATGATTTATAAAAAATTAAACTTTTTATAAAATATTGTATTATAAAGTACAATCACAATTAATATTAACCCAACACTAACTCTAAAGGTGCAGATAAACATGTCTGTGACCGATTTATTTTACCATAATTTGTTTTTAATGTCATAAAGATTAACATTTTATTTGGTTCTAATTTATCTTCCTTTTTCTGTTGTGTGAATTGTTTAGTAAAACACTACCGTATATTACGCATGTATTTACATTCAGTGTTGTGTCAGTCTTACAAACGAGCCAATCAAAACACTAAACAGTGAAATGTAGAACCAAATTAGTTTCTAATTAATACAGAGATCCAATTAACTAGAACACTACTACACAACAAATGCGGTTTGTTTTATTACTCTTATTAACACACGCAACGGCAGTTTAGTTTTGAATGTTGTTTTAGAGTTGGTCTGGCTAGGCAACATGAAGACTTCAATAGGTTATTAAAATTTAAATCATAGAAGGTAGGCGTAGACTAATATGTTTTGAAATCGATCGTTATCTTCGGCACAGATATTTTAATGACCTATGGATCAAATATCTATCTTGGTTGAATAACATTTGTTTTGAAAAGTATTAAAAAACACTGGAATGAAATAGAAATGCATATTATTTGCTTACAAATGCGATTTATACTATGTGTCACTGACTTATTAAGAATGCCTGTCAAAAACTTTATAAGCTTTTAATATAATTTATTAATTCAATTCTTTAGATGGCTACCTCGATTATATATTCCACTGTTGAAACCATTTTTGGAAAGCTTAGTCCATTTTATTTTGGCTCTAATCGCTGTCAACTTGTTGATGTCAAATCAAAAGATATAAGTACACCATAAAACATGTTATGCTGATACAAACTCATTTGTATTTTATAGTTACATATCTATAGCCGTTAGAGTGTAATACTATTTTAATGTTCAAGTTTAGCTTTATAATCCTATAAAATGTATGACGTACAATATTTACGATCTTAAACTTGTTCGCCAAATATTAGAAAAAAATATAAATTATTTCTAAATACGGCACACAAAATTTATTAAGAATTATCTCATAATGTTAAACGAATCCTTTGAGATATATTGCGGCTACTGACAAAAAAAAATCACGTACCTTTATACCGCAACACTTAAAATCTAATACGAAATTACAGTGACATTTATATGTTCCTATATTTGAGTTAATAAAAGCAATCTATCATTAATTTTGCATACATATAAAAGTTATCAAAGTGAGATATTTTTTAAAGAATTTTGATTAGAGTTCTGAAATAAATTGTGACTGTTTGAGATTCTTATAAAGTATAAAAATGGTAAACGATGTTCATATTTATGCACATATTAAACTTACAAAAAAAAACACAATGTCGAATATAATGTTTTCATTCATTAGAATCTAATGTGAACTCTATTAACAACATAAATGTGTACTTAGAATATAATGACAAACGTCCGGTGCCATATTTGTACACACAATTCCTATTTCGCTCTGATTTTGCAACAACCATTTTTCATAATATAGAAATATTTAATTATTCGAATCCAACAACAAAAAATACGCATACTCGGTTTATTGTTATTGTCTTTATCTGACCAACGAAATCTGATCGACCTATTGTATTCATCTATTGACCCAACCGTACGGCTACGATATTACGTTGTGGTATAATACAACTATATAAAAATTTTCTAGAAAGCGAAACTCTATATGGTCTGACGATTATTGATTCCCCATAATCACACAAAATAACAAACTCACCCACAGCAATTACGATAAGTATGGACATGGGATAGCATTCAGAGATGATAGAAAGTGATCGGTCAAGTTCTCACGGCGAATAGAATTATTCTGAAGTTTCGGTAAGCAACATTGCTGAGAATACTCTGGAATAGGTTATCTACAGGATCCGTTTTAAACAATGAATTAACTGAATCCTTATAGACCATTTAGAATATTAGGTATTTTGATAGTGAAGAAGTCAGATTATCATGATGAAACTCGGAGCTTTATGAATTATAATAAGATATTACGACAATAATTCAATTATTAAAAAACCGACGAGTCCGAATGAATGAGCGTTCGATACAATGCACACATGGACACATTTTGATAAAAATTTCGCATAGCTCAATAGTTCTATTTTTTTTTTTTTTTGCACATAATATAAACAATATGGCAATGACTTTTCGAGTCACGATTGATCATTGTTCCAATGCTCGCGTACGCATTAGTCATGCGGCATTACATCTGGGAAAAATTCGTGTACTTAATGACCTCGGCATCTCGGCACTCAACCACTTCTTTTGCATGATAAGGCATTACAAGTTTGCGAGTAATTTTTATTTCAACTACACAATTAGAATTACAAGAAAGCGACAAAAAAAGAAAAAATGATCAGGAATGAATGGAGATCAAACGCCGGTGAGAAAATTTACTTAGTAGAAAAATGTATTTTTTTTTTATATTATTTTTGCACACCAACTGCTGCACACGAAAGTACGCAAGTAAACACATTCGATTCAAAATAGAATTTCGAAATACCAACGACTGATTTTATTGTGATAAATTTTGTTTGGCCTACTAAAAAATGTAATGCAAGTATCTGACTTTGACGCAACCTTGCTGTATCAACCTTGCCCCCCCCCTCAGAGAATTCTTAAGATTACTTTTTGTTGTTATTTCTCTACCCCAGTTGAGTTTCCGAGAATAACAACCGCAATAACATGACAGTAAATTTATAATGTAATAAAAGTATTACGCTTTGCTCGAGTACGAGAGGGTTATTCCAAATACGTCTAATGACCTACCGAATTAAGAAAACATTAATCATCGAGATTGAAATGTCAGAGGCCGCTGTGATTGCGGTTAGGTGTGTGGGTACTCAGTTTTGCAACCTGTAGCAATTTCAATTGAAATTTTGGCAACAGTCCGTCGATACTTCAAACAACCGCATAGTTATATAATTATTATGTGTCGATCTTAAGAGCCAAATTTATGTAGAAGGTATGGCTTAAATGACTAATTGCAGCATTGATCGTTTAACGCCATTCAAATTGAATCTTCTTTTTGATCATACTATAAGATAGTCCATTGTATTAACATTATACAACATTGGTATAAAAGAAACGTTAATCAGCTATAGGATTGAGTGTTGTATAAATTATTTGCCAAATGAAGTTGACAGTAAAGACAAAATAAATCACATTCTATTGAAACCATGGCATCAAATAAAATTACTCTAGTCACCAGAATCTTTTGTAAAATATTTCCTAAAATTAATTTTGTTACCACCAGAATGAAAAATGTCCGTAAAATTTCTCATCCGAACTGCCATCAAACAGCAAATAAAAATCATGATGATAAAATATTGTGGAAAGTATCTACTGTTGGTAAATAATAAGAATCTGTGAATTTTTAAGTATTGACAATGTATAAAAATAGTACAAATAATACATTAATATGTATTAATATTGCTGATAGAAATTCATAAGATGAATATCGATGATTGAATAATTTAACTTGATTATGGTTCATGTAAAAAATGTACAAACGTGTTTAGACTCTAATGCAGCTTAGAAAATGATGTTTAACGGGAAAATATATTTTTATCTAACTTTAAGCCAATGTAGCATTCTTCGTTAGCCTCAAGATTTATTTTACTCCTACTATTAGTTCTGTGGCATTTACAGACGGCTTTTGATTTATTTATATGCAAATGAGAGCCAAGAGAAAGTCTCATTGATTTTTTACGTCTCCCAAACGAATATTGGCGTTGTAACGATAATTATTTTAATGAAAAGTGACTATAAACAAAAAGTATGTAAAAGTACACTATGTACGTGATTAAACGCTTGATCAAGATTTAAATACACTTTCGATAGTAAAGTGTGTCGGATTTATTATTTACGACATGAAATGGAAAACTACCAAAATTTTGCATTATTGATTAAGATCATAACTGAATATTGACATTTGCGTCAAAATAAAACTCTAATGAACTAGAATTGTACAATCCTTTAACTTTATGTAAAATTATTAACTTGTTCTATAAATGGATTAAATGATATCGGTTTATAATAGGAGTAGAAGTTGATAATGATATGAACAAATTATTACCATATACCTTTAATTGCCCTATTATGAATAGCTCCATAAAAAATATCATTATTTCGTGCCTGAAGTTTAATTAGTGCAAAATAAGTACTTTGTCGAGACAATTTCTATAAATCCTATAAAATTTACACATCGTTGTTTTTTGGAAAATTTTCAACAGTTCTTATGACTGATAATAATCAAATATAATAATACTAGTAATAAATTATTATAATCCATGACACGCTAATGACTAAAAATTGACGTCAATCCATTTTGGCTTGCCCGTATAATTTTGCTGTGCTACAAAAAGAGAAGACAAACGTAAATTGTAGCTTACAATACTTGTGTATAATCGTCTATCCGCCTGGATCATCTTAAACAGTTTTTTCTAACACTATTCGAAAGTCTTTTTCCACCGAATTTAAAAGTTTTTTTTCAAATAATTATAATCTATTTCCATCTTATTGTTTTTTTTTTTAAGAGAAACGATTATTTATTAACTTAAATGAACATTTTTAAGGGAACACATAATGCGTAAACTACTCTGTTCATGTCGCACATTGATTAACGTGCGCTGGGCTAAGAAGGTTCCAGTGACGCACTGCGTTTCTTAATTACTTCTAAAAAACTGGTTTTCAATTTTTAACCCAAAGTTCAACTGTAAGATACGTTTGCAAGGCACAGTAATGACCGTTCAACTCATCGTGCCAGTCGATGATTGACGACACGAGAGGGACGGACGTTGTCGTGACTTATCCGAATATATGTTATTAAAGACGGCAATTTTACTATATCATAAACATGGATATCAAATCTAGCCAGGTTTTTATGCGACCGTTATATTTGAGAATTTTGCATTAAGTCATAAAACTACGTGTGGGTGGGGCACTTTGACATACAATCATCTGTAAAATAATCGTTCAACGCAGCACGTTGTTAAATATTTACAGACCAACGACGATTTCAAACTTTTATGGAAACTTTGGGCAATTTATAACCGTGTCATCATATTGCTTCGTAACCAGTACATTTCTGTTTTAGAAATTAAACAATTGAATATATTATTTGTTTCAAGTAACCTATAAACAAACTACACAGTATTATAAATTACTATTTGATAAAAAAATCTCTAAGCCGGTTAAATAACAAAACTGTAAAAAATACAAATAAATAATTACTAGTGGTTTATTAAATAATTTAATTTATATGCTTAGCACAAAATTGTATAATACTTATTAATTTTGATCTCCTCAAAAAACCATTTTTTAGAAATTTAATTAACAATTTAACAAAACAACACAAATTTAGCTTAAAAAGTTAATTTATTATTTGTTCCAGTTCGTTAATAATTAATAAAATATAATGGCGTTTACCTACGTGAAATATTCATTATACAAAATTCGTTTTTATTTTTTTAGACACAATTATTATGCAGTTTAATGGACAGGCGTCGTGGTGTATATAACTCGAGCAGATTCAGTTGGTGCGCAATGTATCAGGTATAAGATTGTTTTTCCAAAGATATTTTGATACTTTAGACACTAATTAGGAAGTGTCGTTGTTGAAAAGCGGAGTTTTTTTAATTTATTAAAATAGTTTCTGTGAAACGGCAATATAAGTTGTTTTTCCATACGAGTAAAAAATGAGGAATAAAGTGTAGTCGGTATCATGATACCATTTAACAGTGCTGTATTAATTATGCGTTATTATAATTATGTGTGCACAGTGTCCACAGTCATACGCAGTTGCGTGCAGAAATACTGACCGAAAACCGCTTTTAAATTAGCAATAATTAGTGTATTAAAAAACGCTTACTCAAACAGAAAATTATACCTGGAGCACACGTACATATATCATATACAATCGTGCGTTTCTTTAAAGAATACTTGATTTACTGTATTAAAATGCACATTGCACCAGGCGAGTAAACCTTATTATGTTTTGGCCATCAATTTATCTACACAGATGTAATACTAGCGATAAAAAAGAAACAGATTTCTATTCTATGCTAATTTCTGTGGAATTATTGTTAATCCAAGAATGCGTGTGTAAAGCACAACGGTCGATGCGGATGACCGGTTTTTTCGGCTTAACAAAATATTGTTGCCACAGACTTACACTACTACAATTATTATTATTATTATTATTATTACTATCATCGTTATTATTGTTATTAAGTTGCCCAAACAAAACGGTACGTTGGCCCGTAGACTCGCCATTAACGTAAAACTGTGACACCGACGTGTATCTCAAACGAGAGTAAAGTATCATAAAATGTGAATGTGTATAATATTGGAATTGCCACCAATCATTTGCATCTTTTGGTGCATAAATCTTATACGAACCGACACATCTTCGACAAATTAAAATTTATGATTTAATTCGACATGATAATTTAATTCCAAGTCTGTATAATCTAAGTGTTTTCCGCTTAAATCACGATATTTTTTAAATTGCTCTACTAATGATTGAAAACATTTCAAAAATAAATTATTTTTTTCTAAATACAATTATTAACATCTCAACTAATCGTTTTTATACGTATTCTAAATAATCAATCAAATCAAATTCTAGTTTGGTGAATTTTAATGATATGTAATTTACTATTTGTAAATAATATTTTTAATTGAATCTGCCGTTGTCAGCAGTGTCGTAAATCCTTTTAAAAATGCCAAAAATCAATGTTATTATTTTGGAACATTTTAAGTTTAATTTTTACATAATAATTCTGTTGAACTTAACTACCCTAAGAAAAATTCTGGTCGCTTAGTCACTGTACGAGTTATACATGATTTTTTTATTGTGTATTACTTCATACTTTACCTGATATATATAGATAACAAATACTTTAGTGCTTTAAATACATTTTGTTCTGTTTATTAACAGATTGTAATATTCTTTTATATTAAAAAAAATTACATTTTGTCTTACAAAATCATGATATTTTTACTTTATTTTACCACATAATATTGCAATAATTATATTTTTCTAAAAAAAATGTTGTATATTAAAATTAGAATACTTAAAATTAAAATATTTAAAAAAGTATCTTTTAAAAATCAAAATTGTTAAGGTAAGTAAAACTTGTTAAAACGTTTGTTTTGTTTTATTTAAAAATAACTGTTTATTTTTCCTACCCTGCTTGACAGATCGGCAACTAATCTTTCGTCGCAAATGGCAAACACGTTTCAAAAATACATTAAAAACTGTATATAAATAAATATTTTACTTGAATTTCAAATTTATACATAAAATATACAGGATGCTGTCTTTCTGGTCGGTTATCGAAAAAAAACAAGTTATCCATCTGTTAATTAACGATGCACTAATTATTTAAATTTGAGAAAATATACATAAATTCTTAAAATAAAAAAATGTATTTTTGATAAATTTCTATAAAATTCTAAACGATAAGACTGTTTAAATATGTAAATTTTATTTACATTATATTCTATAGACTATAGACAAACTAAGTCAAGAGTGATTCAAACTACATACAATATCTCAGTATATGTTGATGCACTAATTTTATGATTGTAAACATCGTTAATGGTTTTTATGTTTAAGAAAAACTAACAAAATAAAACAGTTTTTCTTTGCGCTCTAAAGACAGTGATTTATGAAAATGCGCATGATCTAGACATGTACAATTGTTGAAGGCTAAGTAAAACTATAATATAAGTAGTTTTTGTTATAAAATAGTTATTATTTCATTTTTGTTGCAATAAAAATTCGACAATGGTTGGACACGGGGGCAAAAGATTTAGAACATTCTCCGAGGACAAGTGTCACTCTCATTAAACAGCAATAAACAAAATGCAAATATTACAATTAGGTCACCATATAAATTATTATGGTTTTACTAAAAACTGTTGCACTGGACCATAACATTGTAAATAAAAGGAAGTATGGGTAATGTTTTATTAAATACAGCTCATAGTATAAATACATTTGACTAATTACAAAGACCATTTTCATAAAACCGTTACATATCCTATTTATATATTTTTACCAGGCGTATTGTGTAGGCAATTGCGATGCATGAACACATTTTAAACTGTTTACTTAACGTACACGATTCTTGTTCAAACATTTCTTTGATTATAACGTCTTAGTACAGAAATAGACACTACACAATTATATAATAATTATAAATTCTTAGAATTAAATTTTGTATTGAAAATGGTAAAAAAATAATAAAAATAAAATTGGTCGATTATCAGTTTTATGTCAAACTATGTAATAATATAATACAGCTTTTCACAAATAGAATTCTATCCAAAAACTATAATATACAAAATAAAGTTAAATTAGATCAATTTTAAACATGTCTATACGTGAATGGAATCCTCAGACCAATTAATCTTTAACGAAAATTTTATTTTATATTAAAAAACATTTAACTTCCACTAGTTAGACAAACTGAATTTAGAATTTTGGAATGCTCTAAATTTTTGTTTTACGGTATTTCTAACAATGTTTTTGTATTATTCACCACTTTTAACTGTACATAAGTTTTATACAATTTTTTATATTATTTGCAAAAAAATCACTACATTATGTATTAGTTAAATCAAGATGTTTGTCGAACAGTTGGACAATAATAGCGATTTCCGTTATGAATAAAGATATTGACTTTCTCGCAAGGGAGTTATACATTATCCTTAAGATATAAGTAATTTTAGCATAATTATGTGATGTTGCCATACCCTAATATTTTGTCATTAAAATTTCACAATTTTTATTAAAAGCAATGTTTTATAGAAAAACAAAATTTATAAATGTATTACAGTATCGTCTAGGCTCTTATTGTAAATATAAAAATTATGGCAACAAAAAAATAATGAAAGCAAAATTCACTCTTTTCTAGGTACCTTAACCTCAATTTATTTACGGTACCGGTCATTAGTGTTGTCCGACACATTTTCTTTGACAATGAACGCGATTTTTACCATGCACATTTTCTCTCGTTTACTACTTTGATTTTTGTAAAGACCAGTAAACACTATTATATTTCTTTTTAGATTAAATCATTATATTTTCTTGAGACACAATTTACCCCGACATTGCCATAGCAATAACAACGCACAACTATTGTTATTTGATTACAGTGTAGTAAAGTAAATAAATAAAAGAAGCAAGTCGACCATATTCACTGTCGTGGCAGGCTGTTAAAGAGGACATCTCCACAGTACCAAATCATAATATGCCGTCTTATTTACTACTAGTATGCATTTAGTTCTGATTGTTAAATTGGCGACAAGAAGCTATAGTGACTAATGTTCAAAATCCAATTACAGTATTCGCATCGGCATTGTACAAATAAACTCTACAACACATTATTGTAGAGTAACATATTGCAATATTGACGATTTAGATAACACAAATGTATAAGATTGATCGTGCAAAAATAAATTATAGTTGTTGTTGTAATAAAGTCAATACGCGTTCAGTGTAAAAGACATTTAAAAAAATTACGTATTGTGATTTACGAGGTGTACTCTCGATTTTCGCGCTATAAGTCTGTACAGGATTTCAGGTTAAGGTCAAATGACGACTTACACTACAAATCACTCAACTAATTGAAAATTTCACATCCACAATTTAAACAGCTAATTTTAATTACTTTTTAAACGGAGCAAATAAAAAATGAACATCTATTATTAATTAATATTTTTGAAGTCTTCAATAATATGTTAAATTTTTTGATATTCATATACGAGTATATTATTATTATTAGGCCCAAGAGAGAAGAAGTACAAAAAATAAAAATTATTTTATATTTAAGAACAGTAGTATTGACGAGGATGTGAGATATAAGATTAAGTGCGGGTGGATCAAAGAGAATGAAGCGTCCGATGTTTTGTATAATAAGAGAATCCTAATGAGGCTAAAAAAAGTGCAGTGAGACAAACTATTTTGTATGGGTCAGTATTGCGTGATTGACAAGAAAGAGTAATGATTGAATGCAACAAAGATAAGAATGTATAGATGGATGAGTGGAGTGATGAGAGAAGATAGGATAAGAAATAAAATGTATGAGGAAGTATAGTTGTATGGTCGATCGTAGATAAAATGAGAAAAATAATTTTAGAGGGTTTGTTCATATTATGAGATGTAAGAAATCAGAAGCTGAAGGTATGGTATAGAAATAAACGTTGAAAGTAGAAGTGGAAAAGGGTGGCCGGACCCAAATAATTAAAAAAAAAGCGAAGGAGAAAAAGAAGAATGTTAAAACATATATCAAAATAACATTATACAGAACATGATTATTGAAAATGATTTAGGCATAGAGCTATGAAAAAAATTACAATTAGAAAATTTGTTACAATTTATTAACATTTTATTATAATTAAAGGTTTGGGAATAGTGTGATAGGTCAAACGAAACTATGAACCAGAAGTGTAACTCATATACATGTACATTAATTTGTTCTAATAATTCCAGACAGTCAATAAGGTAATTCATACATTTACAAATATAACTACATCAATCAATT